GATTGCCTCCTTCATGACCCCAACCAGGGCTGGGGACTGAATCTGCAACCCAGGTACGTGCCCTTGACTGGGAATCAAACCCACAACCCTTCAGTTCGTGGGCCAAAGCTCTAAGCCAAACCAGCCAGGGTTGAATAGTATTAAGAATAAAAACTACTGCCCTGGCTGGTTTTCTCCGTGGTTAGAGCGTTGGCCTGTGATCCAGAGAGACCTGGGTTCAGTTCCCGCCAGGCGCGCGTACCTCAGTTACAGTTTGTCCCCAGCCCTGGTTGGTCTTGCAGGTGGCAGCCACTCAATGTGTCCCTTTCACGTCAATGTTTCTCTCTCTCTCTCTCTCTCCCTCCCACTCTACCTGAACAAAATATGGAAAAATGTCCTAGAGTGAGGATTAAAAAAAAAAGAATAAAAACTATTGTCCAAAACTTTTCAGCAAGAATACTGGCATTTAAAAAAAAAATTTTTTTTTTTTTAAAGTTTATAGGGAGGGAGAAGGAGAGAGAGATGGAAACATCCATGAGAGAATATTGATTGGCCGCCTCCTGCATGCCACGCACTGGGGATCAGGCCCACAACCTGGGCATGTGCCCTGACCGGGAATCAAACCGGCGACCTTTTGGTGCATGAATTGATGCTCAGCCACTGAGCCACTCTGACTGGGCCTGGTATTTTTTATTTGGATTCGGCTTCTGCATTCCTCTGTTGTGATATCAGAGGTGAGTGAATGAATGAAAAAGGGCAGAAAACATCTGAGTCTTACTATGAAAATAGTTTTGACCTTGGGTACTTTTGAAGGGACCACCCTTTCAGAACCGATGCTTTAGGGTGTAGCTGTCAGTGGTTTAAGTGAGCTGGGTTCCAGCCTCCTAGCACCAATATGGTTCTGAACCTTTCATTAGCTTTTTAGTGACTTAGAAGTGGACTCTTGTCCTCTAACTCCCGCCCTACACACAGCTCAGGAATTGGCAAATGCCACAAAGTGAAATCACGTGCAGAACATCCACCTTGCATTTACATATTTCCCTTTTCTTTAGCTTCTTGGCCCTTTGTGTTCCAGCTGCCTTGGTAATCCTGAACCCCCATTTTGCTTTCCCCACCCAGGGAGGTCACTGAAAGTTCCCATACCAGGGGGGGTTAAGGGACAGGCCAAAAAGCATCTCCCTTCTTTCTACAACGATGGTCTCCAAAGCCTTCCTTGGTAGCTGTTGTTGCTCTTCAGTGATTTCAAACAGCTGAGATTTTCTCTTTGTATTTTATTCAGCTCATATAATTCTTGGTAAGAGTGTGTTTGGTAGAAAATCTGCATCTTAGCTGTGATTGGACATCAGCACAAAGTTCTCTAACTTACTTTTTTGTGGACTTGCTTAACAATTTATCTCAAGAAATCTCTTTCTGTATGTTCATAAAGAGCTGCTTTGTTCTTTTTCATATACAGCCTTTTATGGATGGACCGTCAATTTAATTAGATGGTTTCCAGTGTGTTGCTATTATAGACAGTCTATAATTACATGTATGAATTTGTACATGTGCACATCTATGTGTAGATTCAACTTCTGGAAGTGGAAGTCTTTAATGCATATGAACACTTGTTATTTTGAGAGATGTCATCTAGTTGTCCTCCACGGCGTTCATCCTCTCCCAGCATGTCTGAGAAGGGCAAACTGGTTTGATCTGAGTGGCCTGGAGGCCATGGCCAGACTCAGGGAGAGGGGCAGGGCTCTCCCCTGTTTCATTGGCCCCTGAGCTCAAAGCCAGCTCAATTCTGGTCTCTCCCAGGACACATTTGACATCCGGATCCTGATGGCCAAGTCTGTCAAGTACACGGTGAACTTCTTAGAAGCCAAAGAAGGGGATTTGCACAGGTAATGACCCTCAAGCCCCTCCTCCTGGGCCCCTGCTGGCTCTTGCAGGCATTCTACTGCCCCAGGGCAGGCAAGTGGGCCAAGGTCTGGAACTCTGCACTTGGCCACCCTTCTTCTCTCTTAGCAGCCTGTTCGGCTTCCCCAGCAATCACTGCCCTTTGCCTTCCAGGATAGAAATCCCATTCAAATTTCACATGCTGCATTCTGGGCTGGTTCACGGCCTGGCTTTCTGGTTTGACGTCGCATTCATTGGCTCCATGTGAGTGCAACAGAGCAGAGCACGCTGCCCCCAGCCCCCAGGACTTCCCTGCAGTTGTGAACCCCAGGCCTGGCTGGTTTGGATGGTGACTGGGGCTGGGAGGGCAGGACAACCCCTCCAGGTTTCCTTGTCCCTTCCAAAAGACAGTGAGCTTGCCTTGAGTCAGAGACTGTTATGGGAAGGGAGTGTGTCTACCCTGTTCTGAGTGGCTATCCTTCACAGGGCCCAGTCAGTCTCTTGGCATGTATGTTAGGATGAATGGGCACCCCAACCCCATGACTGTGGTCCCTTGTATGTGTGGGTGTGTGACTGGGACTACCTGGGTGGCCAGCCTGCCTTAGCTCCAGGGCCCCAGAGGACCTACCTGTCAGAGGGGGCAGACACCTGGGGAGAGCTCAAGGTGCACGGGATGGTGGCTCCAGCCAAGATGGTGCCTGTCCCTTGGTAGAATGACTGTATGGCTGTCCACGGCCCCGACGGAGCCCCTGACCCATTGGTACCAGGTCCGGTGCCTGTTCCAGTCACCACTGTTCACCAAGGCTGGGGACACACTCTCAGGGACATGTCTGCTTATTGCCAACAAAAGGTGCGAGTTGCCACCCTAGGGGAGGAAGGGGTTCATCCACCCAGCTGGCTCATGCCCCCCCCTCCTCCCTTCTCTGTAGACAGAGCTATGATATCAGCATTGTGGCCCAGGTAGACCAGACAGGCTCCAAATCCAGTAACCTCCTGGATTTGAAAAACCCCTTCTTCAGGTAGGATGAGCCCTCGTCCTGTGTGGTGGGGGTGGGGGGCACCTCTCATGCCCGAAGCCCCTTGGCCCTGCCCATGAATCTGTCTCTACTACAGATACACAGGCACGACGCCCTCACCCCCGCCTGGCTCCCACTACTCATCTCCCTCAGAGAACATGTGGAACACAGGCAGCACCTACAACCTCAGCAGTGGGATGGCCGTGGCTGGTGAGCAGGCCTGCGGGGGTGGGGCATGGCCACTTCCTGGTCACACCTACCAGCACTGCCTGGGCAAAGCTGGCAGTTCTGGCCCTTTGCACCCGAACAGGACACTGTCCCCACCTCTGACATCTCCCTCTCTGGACACAGGGATGCCAACTGCCTACGACTTGAGCAGTGTTATTGCCGGTGGCTCCAGTGTGGGCCACAACAACCTGATTCCTTTAGGTGAGTGTCCCTGGGTCTGGGGAGGTGTAGGGGAGGGTTTACTGCCCAGGACAGCCCATGTGCTTGGGCCTTGTGCATCACCTTTTCCTCTTCCTGGGGCTCCTGGCTGAGGTCCTCCACTCTCTGCCTCGCTCTGCCGCCGCTGCACCCACCCTCTCTGCACCCCGGTGTGAAAGTGCAAGTGGGAGCGCCCACCTTGGGCAGAACATGGGCCTGGGCTGGCTGGGGGCGGTGACGCCGTCTCCCTTCCTTCCTCCCTCTGCTGCGCAGCCAACACAGGGATTGTCAATCACACCCACTCCCGGATGGGCTCCATAATGAGCACGGGGATTGTCCAAGGTAACAGAGGGAGCGGGTTCTGTGGGTGTGAGCACGCTGATTGCTGGGCCGCCTACTGGCCCTCTCGCCTGCTCTTTCTCTCCCTGTGACTCTGCTGTGGGGCTGGGTGGGTGAGGGGGCAGAGCTGGTCCTCAGTATCCATGTCCCACTTCACAGGGTCCTCCGGCACCCAAGGCAGCAGTGGTGGTGGCTCCAGCGCCCACTATGCAGTCAACAGCCAGTTCACCATGGGTGGCCCTGCCATCTCAATGGCCTCACCCATGTCCATCCCAACCAATACCATGCACTACGGGAGCTAGGCCCCTCCAGTGGGGAATGGACTGACAGCACCAGGAAACCAAATGAAGACCCTGCCCACCCATCCCTCTGCCCGGGTGGCTTTCACCCGTGTTGGAGAAGCCTAAACACCGGTCACAGTCCTCTTTGCTATGGGAACTTGGACACTTTTTTACACATTGCTGCAGCCGCTCCCACCCCACCACCCACCCATATCTTGGCCCTGAGCGTGTGTCGCTGCCATACTTTACACAAGATCATGTCGTGGGAGCCCTGTTCCTCCCCCTGCCCTTTCCACCCTGACCTGGGCTTAACATCTAATGAAACAGACGTGTCCAGGCCTGACAGCTGCAGATCCTGTGGCCAGGTGGCTGGGAACAACTGTGGCCCTGCCCAGTTCCCCAGTGCCTGTCCTCCCTTGCCTGTCTCCAGTGGGAAGGCAGTCCTAGCTAGATGGGGCTTCCCATTCAACTACCAGGCCTTGGTCACAATGGGCGTGACATGCTGCTTTTTTTAATTTTATTTTTTTATGAAAAGAACCAGTGTCAACCCACAGACCCTCTGTAATACCAGGCCGGCCGGGCCGAGCCAGCAGCCCCTATCCCCAACTCAGAGGCTTAGTGGTGAGGGGTAGCCCTGCCAAGTCTTCAGGACAGGGCAGGGCAAGGCCAGTGCAGCCCCAAAGCCCCCTCCCACAAAAGGGTTCACCTCACTCTTGAATGTACAACCCACCCCAGCTATTGGGAAGGCCCTCCGTCCAGCCCCTGCCTCTTGCTGCTGTCCTGTCCCTGAGCCCCTAGAGGTCCCCCTCCCCCACCCCTGCCAAGAGTTAGAATAGGAGGCCTAGAGGGGAGGAGGGTCACTGTCAGCCATTGGGGGCAGACACAGAGAAACCTCAAGGATCTGTCATGGAAGGCGTCCTTTTTCCTTGTAGCTAACATTAGGCCTGTGTATTTTCCTCAGCATTTGTAGATGCTCCAGTCCCTACTATGATGATGGCATTTTGGTCCTTTCCCAGCCTGCGAAAGGGCCTTGCAGGGATCTTTCCCTCCAAAAAAAGGAAAAAAAACAAAATAAACAAGGAAATGTGTTTCAGCACAGGCAATTTTCTTCTACTTTTGCCCCCCCCATTGCTAACACCCTCAAACTTGGATGTGGTGGAGCCAAGGCTAGGCCCAAGGCCCTGCTAACTGGGCACTCCAGGAAGGGTGGGCACAACCAAGGCTGGAGTGACTCTTTGCTCTCCTCTGGGACCCTCGGGAAAAGAAGAAAGGTCCAGCAGGTGACCCATGGGGCAACAGCTGCACTGGAAGCTCCTTGCTCAGCCACCCTTCTCCCGCCTTTATATAAATTCTCTGAATCACCTTTGCATAGAAAATAAAAGTGTTTGCTTTGTAAGAAAAGTCTGGCAAGTAGCAGAGTGATCTTGAAATGCCAAAGAAACCTTCAGTCATCGTCTGGGGGGCAGGGCAGGCAGAAGTGTCCCTTCATGTTGGACCTGAAAGAGAAACCCCTACCAGTGGCTCTGTGACTTCTCACCTTGCAGGGAAGAGGCTGGAAGACCCTCAGCCATAATTGGAAACAATTCCTTACCCATAGGCTCTGGCCTTAGGTTGCCATAGCCTTTGGCGGGGTGGGTGTGAAGAATATGGTTGGAGGCAGAGATGTGACCTGGGGTGGAGGTGCCGCGTGCTCCGGAGACAGTGGCTGGAAAAAGTAAAACTGAACCCAGACCCTTGAGGTTAGCATCAAGACAACCAAGTTGACCCCCTACCCTGAGGTCCAGCTGTGATTGCCCCAGACCCATACCTTACAGCCCATGGCCAGGAGGGCATGGAGTAGTATGACGGCAGACAGCAGCACGGAGGCCACCAACCTGGTGTCCTCGCGGACAATGGGCCAGAGGGTAAACACCAGGCTAGCAGTTGACAGGGCCAGAGCCAGTGCACCAAAGAGCCACTGCAACCACGGGACAGGGATCAGCCAAAGAACCTGGGGACAACATGGGCAGATGGCTACCAGGTTTCTCCATGGCACATGCCACCCCCACCCCCTGGGGTCGTACTCACCACAGTGGGGATGAAGATGAAAAGGGAATAGCCATAGACACACACAGTCTCCAAGAAGGTGTAAGGCCCCATGCGCTCCCGGACGCCTTTGCGCCATTGCAGGAAGGCCCACAGAGCCAGTGGCACCAACCAGGCATAGCAGTAGATGGTGATGCCGGCCACAGTTACTGGGGGCAAGGTAGGCAGTCACCCTGAGGCCCCACGGCACCCCTGGCCTCACCAGGTGCTGGGCCTGGCCTACTTTGCTTACCCTTGTGGAACTGGGGACCATAGTGGATGGAGGGATCCCTCCTCTGGGCCAGCACAATCGTCAGGTTGCCAGTAATGGCCAGGACAAAGGCCAGGGTGGCGCAGATCCAGAAGGGGCCTGCAGGTGTAATAGTCAGGGTACCAGGCACAGAAATTCTAGGACAGGTGATGTCCTGTTTTGTTCCAGCCTTTCTAAGCTCTGGGCTGCCTCCATATGTACCACTCCTTTGACCCCTACACCCATATGTCAACCTGGTGGTTGAATCCAATGCTGGCTCAATCCTCAACTTTCTTGACCTTTCCACAGCCTTTGATGTAGCTGATCCCTCCTCCCTCTGAACACACTCCACACTGTTGGCTTTGAAGTCTCATGTCACTGGCAATTCCTTAACTTCTTTGACTCCCTGACCTCTAATGATGGGGAGTGGGCTGGGCCCAGTTCTCAGTCCCCCTCTGTGTTCACCCCTTGCATTATCTTGTCCAAGCTCAGGGCTTTGTGCCACCTCTAGACCAACAACTCCCAAATGTCTCAAGTCCAGGCTTCTGCCCTTAATATCAGGCTTCTATTTAGTGTTTTCATGTGTGCACCTCTCCTTCAACCCCACCACACTCTTTCCCGTCAAACAGGCTCAGGTTTCCTACTGATAAATAGCAACTTCATGCTTCTCAGGCCAGGAAAAAACCCTGACACCCTCCTTGGCGCCTCTTTTCCCACCCTGTATCTAGTGGGTCAACAAATCCTGTCAGCTCTACCCTTTAAGGTATAGGCCAGAATCCAATCACTCCTCTCTCCCTGGGGGCAGGTCCTCACCCCCACCCTGACCTGAACCACAGTAGTTACCTCTTCCCTGGTCTGGCTTCTGTCCTCTTGCCTCACAGTGGCCAGAGGGCACCTAAGAACACTTAATTAAGTGCCCTTCTCACTGAATTTTAGGAAGTCTGTGCGATGTCACCTAGGTGGTGGCCTGGCAGTTTATTCTGCTCCAATGGCAATGCTGCCCTGCAGTTCTGGTGTGTATCTGCCACAAGGATTATGCCCCTTCTAGAATGTTCTTCCCCTAGTTCTCCCCAACCCCAACCCTGACACCAACAAGGCTCATTTCCTCCTCCTCCTCCTCAAAGGGGTCTTCCCTGACCAACCCATGCAAAGTAGCAACTCTCATCCTCAAAACTGACTGCAAACTATGATGTCTGTCTCCTTGAACAGTGTAAGTTCTACGCTCTCTGTGAGGAACTGTGCTTTCTTCTAAGCTGTATTCTAGGGTCAGGCACACATTCCACATGTGCTGAATGAATAATGAGCTGAAAGCATAACCTCACTCACCATACAGGTCCGGGCGATTCCGCAGATGGTGCCGCACAAAGCTGTGGCCAGGCCGAGGCAGCAGAGAACCTTTAATACGGTCCAGAACCTGGAGGCAGGTGGAGCACGGAATGGAAGCCTGCTAGGGCTCCTCACCACCCACAGAGGAAAGGGACCAATCTCCTGCCCTGACCTTAGGGGTTTCTCTGCTGCCCTTCCACCTCCTCTCTCCACACACTGCTCAGAAGGAATCAGCACTTCCCTCTGGAATTTTGATAGGCTGTTCCCATGGTCTGGAGCCCTTTACCCTGACCAGCCCCTATTCAATATACCAGTGTCCCACCATTCTGAAAGACTTTAAAGCCTACCTTCTTTTTCTTTGAGAGGCTGCCCTGAACTGCCACCCTTGCTGCCTCCTCCAACCCCAATAAGGACAGACATTCTGGGCATTCTCCTTCCTGCATCTCTAATGGGTCCCCTTACTCCACAGCCCTGGTTTATTACCTCCCACCCTGGCGTGGGGCCTCTGATTCACTTTCCATGTTGTGTATCTGCTCATTCCACTCAACCCTATCCTACTCTATACCCATCCATGACTCCCCAGAACCCTCAGGATAAAACCCAAACTCCTTAACATACCTCACAAGGCCCTTTGTGATCTGGCTTCTGTCTATCCCCCACCCCTCATGCTCCAACCAGACTGAGTGACAAGTAGCTTCTGTGATAGTTCCCATCTTCTCTCATATTTGGTCTTCTGTATGATATTCTCTGTATCTGGAACATACTTATGCTTCCTTCCACTCTGCCTGGCTAAGTTTTCCTTCTTCAAGTCTCAGAAAATGCCTTACCACCTCCAGGAGGCTTTTCTCTAACCCACCATATCATGTGTGCTTCCTGTGTTCCCCAAAGTCCCACTCATCACATCATAACCCTTAAAGCGCACCGCAGTTACTTCAGTTAGCCTGGGTGGAAGCTCTTGTTTTCCCACATGTGTATCTTCAGCAACCTGCCCAGGGCCTGGTACACAGAAAATGCTCAGTGCGTAGTAGCTAAACCCCAAGCATGACTGAGTCCCATGTCCCACCAGCTTCCCGGACCTGACCTGCAAGGTGTCCACATCGAAGAAGCTCTGATAGTAGCTAAAGGTCCAGAATCCAGGCTGCTGCTTCTCCTCCTGTAGAAGCTGCACAGTGTGGGCTTTCAGTGCCTGCCCTTCCAGCCTGGGTCAACCAGGGACTGGACGGAGGTAGGGCACAGGGACTTATGTGACTCACCGCGGTCTTGTCACTTTCCTCCACTTCGTCGTCAGCTCCGTAGCTACCACCTGAGCCCACAGCCACAGCCACATGCCCCTTTGGGGTCAGCTGATCACTTATGCTTGTGGTGGCCACATATGGGGTCTCGGCCAGCAGATTAGTGGCTTCCTCGAACTCTATTGGTAATAAATATGGGACACAGGCATGTTTGGGGTGGGGGAAAGGGGAGAGTCAAGACAATCTGGTTTGGCCTATTGCTCATCTGGGGGCCAAGACACTAACCTGACCACCTCAGTGCTCTCCCCAACTCAGGACCCGGCTTCCTCAATTTTGGGGAGTGGGAAGGAGGTGTGTTCCCTCACCCCTAACAAGGGGTGGTAACTGAGGGCTGGTTCTGGGATAGGGTCAGGTCTGGGGTAGCGACTCCGGTTTGAGTTTGGAGTTCAGAGCTGAAGTAGAGTTCGACTAGAGTTAGGTTTTATGCCTGGAGTCAGGGTTCACAGCTGACTGCGGGCTCGGGTTAGATATAAGTTGGGACTTAGATGTGAAGTTCTGGCCAGCGGAGGAAAGAGGTCGGGCCAGATCACAGCCGCACTCACCGTGGAAGGCCAGCTCATCGGCCGCTGCCATGGTCGCTCAGGGGCGTCGCTGCATCCCGCTCTGAAGACAGAGGCCAATCAGGCCCGCACCCAATCCCACACGGCGCCCTCCCGGACTATCCCTCAGTCCCCAGCGCGGCCTGGCGGTTAACAGTACCCACCTGGGCGTGAATTCGCCGACCCTGAACACAGGTACAACCGGCCCTCCTCACCTGAGGTTGGCTCAGTCTGCGTGGCCAAGGCTTTCTGCGCCTGCGCGGCCAACCTACCCGCCCATCAACCCTACTCGTCCCAGATCGAAACATCCGGCGCCGGTCCGTTTTCTATCCTCTTCCGATGGGAAGCCATTACCGGTACATTGACGCATGCGCAGATGAGACTCCTGGGCCTTTTACTTCGAATGCCTGTCGTTTCTCTTCGGAATAGGGACGTCAAGCCGGAAGGGAATGGCGGCAGCAGCTCTGAAGAGACTTTGGTCTCGAGGCCGCGGAGAAGCAGGGCCCGCGGCAGCTGCAAAGCCAGGCGTGTGGGCGAGGTTGGGTGAGTAGCGGTGGGGTGGGTGGACGCAGCGGCGGCGAGAGGCAGCGGCCGGACGCCTCTCACCGCGCTTTCTTTTCCATAGGCACCTGGGCCCGCGCGCTGCTCCGGGACTACGCCGAGGCTTGCGGGGACGCGGCGGCGGCGGCGCGGGCTCGACCCGGCCGGGCGGCAGTGTACTTGGGGTTGCTGGGCGGCGCGGCGGCCTGCTGCACGCTGGCGCCGAGCGAGGCGGCCTTTGAGGAGGCGCTGCTCGACGCGTCGGGGACCCTCCTCCTGCTGGCGCCGGCCACGAGAAACCGCCACTCGGAAGCGTACGTGCAGCAGCTGCTCTGGCTGCGGGGCCGTGGGCGCCTGCGCCACGTGAACCTGGGCTTCTGCTCGCTGGTGTACGAGGCGCCCTACGACGCACAGGCCAGCCTCTACCAGGCCCGCTGCCGCTACCTGCAGCCCCGTTGGATTGAGTTCCCGGACCGGATCCTGGACGTGGGCTTTGTGGGCCGCTGGTGGGTGCTGAGTGCTCGGATGCGCGACTGCGACATCAACGATGACGAGTTCCTCCATCTGCCGGCACATTTACGCGTTGTCGGGCCCCATCAGCTACACTCGGAGGCCAATGAGCGGCTCTTCGATGAGAAGTATCAGCCGGTCGTGCTCACTGACGATCAGGTGGACCAGGCGCTATGGGAGGAGCAGGTCTTGCAGAAGGAGAAGAAGGACAAGCTGGCCCTGAGCGAGGCCAACTCGCTGGTGCAGAGGGCCCGAGATGAAACCCAGTGAGACCTGGGTCCCGACCCAGCTCCGAGCCTTGGCAGACTCCTAGCAGACTGTTTGCCCGGGACTGTGCAATTGGTGTGAGTGACAGTCAAGTGCAGAGTGACAGAAATAAATTATATGTAGAGTGTTCTTGCTAGGTTTTCAGAAAATTAAGTGGCCTTTCTCCCTCTCACGTTCCTAACACAAGCTAATTTGAGAGCCTTCTTGGTCTAGGATTTGGGGAGAGCAGAAGTGACAAGATCATATAATGTTTATCACTGCCAGAGTTAGTAACAAGCATTGTACATAGATAAGCCTTTTTCATTGGGCCTTGGGGTCCCCCTGACAAAGGCATCATATCTGTTAGGTGACTCCCAAGATCTCCTAAAACCATTCATATTTTCATTTTAAAATTTGAGCTGCAGTGTTTATACTCTCATTTTCGTTTTAATTTTAACTTTATTTTGAAATAATTATAGTCTCAGAGTAAACTGGGAAAGTAATACCGGACATCCTTTATACCTTTCCCCCAAATGGTAACAATTTTCAAGCAGTACCATCTTACACCATACACAAAAATCAACTCAAAATGGATTAAAGACTTGAATGCAAGATCTGAATCCAGAAAAGTCCTAGAAGAAAATAGGCAGTAAGCTTCTTGACATCAGTCTTGGTGATGATTTTTTGGATTTGACACCAAAAGCAAAGGCAACAAAAGAAAAACAAATGGGGTTATATCAAAATTAAAAGCTTCTGCACGGCAAAAGAAACCATTGACAAAATGAAGTCAGCAGGATGAATGGGAGAAAATATTTGCAAGTCATATATCTCATAAGGGGTTAATATCCAAAACATACAGAGAACTCCGACTCATACAACCAATGACAATAAACCAAGCAATCCAATTAAAAAATGGGTAGAGGATCTGGATAGACATTTTTCCAAAGAAGACATACAGATGGCCAACAGGTACATGAAAATGTGCTCAACATCACGAATCATCAGGGTAATGCAAATCAAAGTCATGATGAGATAGCAACTCACACCTGTCAGAACAGCTATAATCAAAAAAACACGTGATGGTGCACTGCTAGTGGGAATGTAAATTGATGCAGCCACTATAGAAAACAGTGCGGAGTTAAAAAACAATTCAAAATAGAACTACCATATGATCCAGCCATTCCACTTCTGGGTATTTATCTGAAGTAAACACTAACTTGAAAAGATGATTGTGCCCTGGTAGGTTTGGCTCAGCAATTAGAGTGTTGGCCTGTTGACCAATGAGTCATGGGTTCGACTCTAGTCAACGGCACGTGCGTCAGTTGCGGTTGGGCCCAGCCCTGGTTGGGTCGTATGGGAGGCAACCAATTGATGTGTCTCTCAATCTCATTGATGTTTCTCTCCCCTTCCCACTCTGAAGATAAATGGGAAAATGTCCTTGGGTTTAAAAAAAGGATTTAAAAAAAGATATTTGCACCCTCATGTTCATTACAGCATTATTTACAGTAGCCAAGATATGGAACAGCCTAGTTATTCATCGATAAATGAATGGATAAAGAAAATGTGTGTAGCCCTGGCCGGTTTGGCTTAGCGGTTAGAGCATCGGCCTGCGGTCTGGAGAGACCTGGGTTCGGTTCCCGCTAGGGGCACGTACCTTGGTTGCAGTTTGTCCCCAGCCCTGGTTGGGTTGTGTGGGTGGCAGCCACTCGATGTGTCGCTTTCACGTCGATGTTTCTCTCTCTCCCTCTCTGTCTGAACAAAATATCGAAAAATGTCCTTGGGTGAGGAGAAAAAAAAGAAAATGTGTGTACACACAATGGAATATTCAGCCAGAAAAAGAAGAAATATTTATTTTTGTGGGTGGCTGCAAATGTGAAGAGCATGCTATGAAGGCCTCCAGCATGCTGCAGGAGCACAAGGTGGTGGGGCACTGCCTGCTCAGCCCCAAGTGCCACACACCGCCCCTTTACCACATGTGAATCTGTACACCTACCCATGTTGCCAAGTCCCATTTCTGGCGATTGGTGTCTCAATTGAAGAAGATGAAGAAATCTTAAGGGGAAATCTACTGTGGGCAGGTATTCAAAAATACCCGCGTCAGGCAAAGAACTTTGGCATCTGGCTGTTCTGAGATGTGTAGTGGCACCCACAACATGTACTGGGAGTACCAAGACCTGTGCCAGTGCTGCCAAGCCATGGGGCTCAGCACCGTGCCCACCCCCACTCAATCCCAATCAGGGAGGTGGAAGAGATCGCAGCCAGCAAGAGCTGCAAACCGTCAATCAACCAATTCCACACTCCAAGATCAAGTTCCGAGTCCCACCAGTCCTTCCCCAGCACAAGCCATGCTGCACAACCAAGAGGTCCCAACACCTTTTAGATGCAGGGCCTCCCTGTCCCTGATCTGCCCAAATAAGCTCCTTGGGAAAACTGGAGGGATAAGGGTGGTGGAGAAGGAAGGAGATCTTGCCATTTGCAACAACATAGATGAACCTTGACAGTGTTATGCTAAGTGAAATTAAGTCTGACAAAGACAAGGCCCATATGATCTCTCATATCTGGAATCTGAAAAAATAAAAACAAGCTCATAGAACAGATTGGTTGCTGTCAGAGGGTGGAGTGGGGATAGGGGTGGCTGAAATGGGTAAGAAGGAGTCAAAAGGTACAAACTTCAAGTTATGGGGAGGTAATGGAAAGCTTGGTGACTATACATAATACTGAATTGAAATTTTTTTCAAAGTAGGGTTTGAATGCCAGCTTTCACACTAGCTTTGTGACTGACCTGGGACAGGTGAAGTTGAGACGGACCAGTGAGCCAGGACAAGTGGAAGAAGAAAATTGAGACAGACAACAGAACAAACTGGCAGAGCAATTTACAGCAGATACAGGAGGTCACCTCCCTAGAGATGACATCTAGGCCTCAGTTGTGTATCAGCTCTAGACCCAGAAAAGAAGCAAAACCAGGTGGGCAACACGAGGACCAATAATACCCTGCCCTGACACTGAGTGGTCACAGCCCTCAAGAAGCACACATAGAAAACTGAAAAATATTCTGTTGAACCCTCCCCCGAGACCTCCCCTAAGATTCTCACCTTCAGGAGAGAAATAAAAGCCTCAAGACAAAGGACCTAGGGCATGCTCTCCTTCCCAGGAGCATGACTTCCCCTCTTACCCCATTTTTCTTCCCCCACAGGCATGCATCTCCTAGACTCTAAGGCTTGCAATCAGGTCAGCAATGGCAGTGGCAGTTCATCCCAGGCAAACCCCCTGAACCTTCCCCAAGGCCCCCTTTTCTCTGACTTAGCCAAAACAGACCAGCCTGGGCTCTTACCCTAGCCCTTTCTTGTTTCACCGTCCCAGCTTTCATAAATGTCCTTTAACATTCACCTGGACCCTGGCCGATTTCAGTCAGTGGTTAGAGCGTCGGCCCACGGACCAAAGGGTCACGGGTTTGATTCCGGTCAAGGGTACGTGCCTTGGTTGCGGTTTGGTCCTGCCCTGGTCTGGGTTGTGTGGGAGGCAACCAATCATGTGTCTTTCTCACATCCGTTTCTTTTTCTCTCTCCGCCTCCCTCCCTCCCACTCTATCTGAAGATAAATGGGAAAAAATCCTCGAGTGAAGATTAAAAAAGTAAAATTTGCCCGGACTGCTGTTGTGAAACTATTCCGGCATGAAGTCAGGAACCCACACGCTACTGGCCCAGCCCTAGACTGACCCGCTTAGGGCCAGGACCCCTTTCCAGGAACAAAGTGACCTCTCCATGCCTCAAGTTCCTTCTCTGCAAATGGAAATGATTCTGCTCAGGACTGTTAGAAAAGAAAAATCAAACCACACAAAAGCATTCACGGTCCATGGTGTGTCCATGTGGGGAAGATTAAGGCTCTGAATTCATGCCCTGCCCTTCCCCCTCTGCTATGGCCCGCCCAGCCTGCTGGGTGGAGGAGGCCCAGGGCCAGCCCCTGGGAAGAGCTCAGTGAATGGAGGACCAGTATAGCCTGGTGCCTGGGTGTGGGCATCTCTCAGAGCCAAAAGACACTTGAATCTAATATGAACATTTTCCAGTTCTCCCTTTCTCTTAAAATTTAGTCTTGATCATTTCAGTTTTCCGGGCCAGGACAGCATGTCCTCCGCACTAGCTGTTATAATCAGAGGGACCAGCAGAGGGCACCCGAGGTTCGGTTCAGAGAAGCAGGCCTTAGCTTTTGTTCTGAGAAAGCAGTGGAGGGAGTGCAGTCAGTACACAGATCAGTTTAATGTTCTTTAGAGATCGTAGGTCAATGGTGGCTGGAGTCTGGGCTGTAGGGCTTTGGGGAGTTCCATTCCTAGAACTTACACGTACCTTGTGAGCAGAGGAAGCCCTCTCCTTCCCTTCATGCAGGAAGGGGCAGGATCACCTGGTTGGCCCTAGGAGCTTGTCCAGTTACCTAGTTTTCTGGAAGTTGAATTGAGCACTCAAGGCACTAAGCCCTAGACCAGGATTTATAAGACAAGTGAGGTCCCCCAGGCACAGGTTTTAGGGAAACACTTCCTTTCAGGGACCAGCAAGTGCAGGGTCTGTCCCAGAGGTGAGGTGCCTCCTTAAATTCTGTGTCCCAGGCACCTGGAGCCTGGCCTTAGTCTTGGCCTTGCAGCGTGCTCAGCTATAATCTTTCAGGTGTGCCCAGTGGGATTTTTCAGATTTGCTCAGCCCTGACACCACAAGCCCCTCTTCTTCTTAAAAACTTTTTTCTTTATTGATTTTAGAGAGACAGGAAGGGAGAAGGAGAGAGAGATAGAAACATCAATGAGAGAGAACATCGATGAGAGAGAACATCGATTGGCCGCCTCCTGCATGCCCCCCACTGGGGATTGGGCCCACAACCTGGGCATGTGCCCTGACCAGGAATCAAACCGGCAACCTCTTGGTGTATGGGTTTATGCTCAACAACTGAGCCACACCAGCCAGGCTCTTCTTTTTTTTTTTAATTCCTCACCCGAGCACATGTTTTTGTTTTCACATATTTTTGTGTTTTTTATTGACTTGAGAGAGAGAGAAACATTGATTGGCTGCCCCCGGCAGGCTCCCTTACCCCCACAACCTGGGCATCCAGGAATTGAACCTCCTGGTGCTAGGGAGTACACCCAACCAACTGAGCAACACTGACCTAGG